CCTGAGGTCAGAACACTGACACCCACGCTGGGCATGCCCCCTCACCCACTGGGATGGCAGTTCTCAGCAGGCAGCCTGTCCGTGGCCCACCCATAGGGCAATGCGGGCAAGTGTCCAAACACCTGTCTGCGCGGTTCACAGCAAAGCACGTCCCACGAGCACACGGATGGAGACCAGGCGGCAGGCTCTGTGCCTCCAAAGAGCACAGCGAGGCAGGGCTTGTCCAGTTTTCAGAACACAATCCACACGTAACAGCTGTCTGCATAAATCTACATACTCAAAATAACGCACCACCGAAATGTAAAGACACAAGTCCTTCCACTTGGGGCACAGCTGCAGCACGCGCTAGCACTCTGCTTCTCCTGCCTGAGGCTTCGGGAATGCTGGGCTATCAGGACACGCCCCACCGCCTTCACGGGGGCATGTCCGGGTGTGCATGAAAGAGCCAGGAGGGTCCTGAACCTTCTGGCAACAGGAAGGTGGCGTTCTATAAGAGTGACAGGACTTGTACCCTTCACGTGAGGCATGTCTAGTGCTCTTGTCTGTTTCACCCTGCCCAGTAGCAGTACCGAGTCACGGTTTCTCAGGTCCCCAAACTGGCTCGCTCAGAAAACACCCCTTGGGTACGGATCAAGTGGCACAAATTAGCTCCAGGCGGGCTGCTCTGACTGGGGTGAACTGCAGAGAAGGGGCGCAGGCGCAGAGGCGGCCAAGCAGAGGCCCGAAGACAGAGGAAGGCAGTCCTGTGTAGGCTCCGCTGGGACACAGATGGCCTAACTGCTCTGCCTTTCTTCCCCTCTACCGCAGAGCTGAGGCCTGACCTCACAGGGTTGCTGGAGGTGTCAAACGCATGCCGGGCACTCTGAACACCGCAACGGGAGTGACACCTGCATTTAAAAGCCTGCGAGTCACCGTCTAGCGCTCTTCCTCCACATCCACTGTTCTGCGGCCTTCTGCCGATGGCAAAGATGGCCGTGTAGCTCTTGCTCCTCGCTCCCCACCTCATGCTCAGAGGGACGGGCACAATGAAGAACTGACTGCGGTCCCAACTACTGCGAAAGGCAAGAAGAGGAGATGAAAGCCCTGGCTGGAGGAGGACATCCAACTTGGCTTTCCCTGCCTTTCTCAGGCACCTTCCCTGTGCGGTACGGGTGCCCTCCTCCGTGCCCGGGGCTCCGCTTAAACCTGGCGTGTGGGTCCTGAACCAGCCGCTGGGCGGCATCTTCTCCCGCCGTGGGCAATGTCTCAGGGCGTCTCGCTGCCGAGACACATCTCGTACCCCAGACCCCATGAACCTTGATCTCCTCCTTCCCAACCCACGTAGACAGAGCTCGATCCTCACAACACACAGGTCTGGTCTTCCCGAATCCCCCATTCACACGGTTCACAGCGATCGTGGCCTCGTCACAGGCTAGAAGCCTAGTCTCGTCTCCTTTCTGGCCCCCTTGGGTCCCTCACAGGGTCATAGGACCATCACCCCTATCTTCCACCTCCCTTCTCTGACTCAAGGCTCTCAGGCCTGGTACAACCTACCTTCCAGCCTCACCACCCAAGACCTCCCAGGACGCAGCTTCAGCTCTGGGCCACGTTCACAGCCACGGCTCCTCCAAGGCTTGGTGGGTACCACTGTCTGCTCGAGGGCCCCCACCTGCCACGGAATCTACTCTGCACCAGAGGTGGGAGCACCATGCCGCCATGAACCGTGACAGCGCATGACCCTGGAGCAAACGGGATGCGATGCTTACGAGGTGCTAAATAGCAAAATCGGGACACAAAATTGTATAAAATTACTTGACATTTTTATAATTTATCCACATAAAAGTGGGTAAAGGGATATACCAAAGTGACAAGGGTAACTGTACTGAGTGATGGAATTGTGGGCGTGTCATTTCATTTATACAGACTCTAAATTTTATTTTAGTTTGAGAGATATTTTTGCAATAGGGCAGGTGTGCTTAGCAAATAGAGACAGAAAGCAAGAAACCACCCCCAAGAGGGATGGCCACGCTGCAATCCCTTCTGCATTTTCCTCGCGGGAGTTTGGGCATGCACTCACACATGCCCAGCATGAGTTTTAAGCCCCCGGGCCCAGGACTCAAACCGCAGTTGACTATGTGGGAGTCCAGTGGCATAACCATTATGCCATCTGCTGGTCCCTTTAGTGTTCTTTTTAAAGTAACCTTTTTGTTTTAGAATTGCTTTTGGATGTATGGGAACTGTGAGAAGTTGGTATCAAGAGTTCCTATTAGGAACCAGCAGTTAGCGTAATGGCTATGTCGCTGGACTCCCACACAGTCAACCGCGGTTCACGTCCTGGACCCGGTGGCTTAAAACTCACGCCGGGCGCACGTGTGTGTGTGCCCAAGATCCCGAGAGGAGAATGGAGGAGAAGGGATTGCGGGGTGACCCCCCCCCGGGGGGTGGTTTCTCGCTTTCTGTCTCTGTGTCTCTCTCTGTCTGTCTGGAGAGCGCACGCGCCCTATAGCGAAAATCTCCCCCACCCCCCCAAAAAAAGGGTTCCTATTCACCCACACACAGTCCCCTACTGGCAACACCTCACACTAGTGTGAGACCTTTGTCCCAACTAACGGAGCCCAAAATACAGGACCAGCAGATGGTGTGATGGTTATGTCACTGGACCCCCACATGGTTGACTGTGGTTCAAGTCCTGGACCTAGCAGTTTGGGACTCACACCGGGTGTGTGTGTGTGTGCCCAAAATCCCAGGAGGAGAACGGAGAAGGGATTGAGGCATGGCCATTGCCCCAGGGGTGTGTGTGTGTGTGTGTGTGATTTCTCACTTTCTGTCTCTCTGTCCCTTGGGTAAACACACACACACCCTATAGCAAAAATCTCTTTCTAAAAAAAATAGAGCCCATAATATAATGTGGCTTCTAAAACTTTTAAGAATTGCAATTTTTGTAAAATAGACAACATAGAGGAAAACGCCATTCTTTTTTTCTTTTTTTGAGAGGTTTTTGCTTTAGGGCGTGTGCTCTTGCCAGAAAGACAGAGACAGAAAGTGAGAAATCACCCCCCAGGGGGAATGGCCACGCTGCAGTCCCTTCTCCTCCACTCTTCTCTCGGGATCTTGGGCACGCACGCACACGCGCCTGGCATGAGTTTAAGCTATTGGGTCCAGGGCTCGAACCGTGGTTGACTACATGGGAGTCCAGCGACATAGCCATTACGCCAACTGCTGGTCCCTGGACAGTGATTTTCAAAGTCGAAGAAAAGGTCCTCCCCGAACGTGTCTGCGGTGTCAGACTAACTTCTGACACAAACACACTGCCGTGATTTTCCTCTGCACCATCCAGAGAAAAGCTGAAATTAACCTCAGTGGAAGGAAGGATTTAGTTTTAAATGGTAAGAGCCACCGAAAGGCAGAAGATAAATACACTCGAGAACATAGCTCCTATTTGCTCGTAACGTCTGAAGTACAGTGAGTACGACGCGTGCTTTTCTCCTTTCTCTCCAAGGTTTCTTCCCCAGTGGGTTCTCTTTGTTCTGACTGCCAGCTTGATCTCAAAGATCTCTGAGGACCCAGCAGTCAGAACAGCCTGGCGGGTTATGCAGAGCAGTAACCACCGGAGACGTTCTGCTTTGAAAGAGAACTTTAAACCCCTAAGTCTTGCCCTTCTTTTTAGTTAATGAATATATTTCCATCTTTTAGGGTGTTCTTTACTCTAGACAGTCAAAACTGCGACACTAAAACTAGGAAAATGCTGACCACGTCCCAGCCGTGGGGGCGGGAAGATCCCCGATGGCAGGCAGCACTCCTCTCTCTTCAAGGGGGCTCACGTGGACAAAAACGTGGAGGAACGGCACCTCGTTGGCCGTTAGGGTCACTAACACAGTCCCTACTCAGTCGCCTCAGGCCCCAATCATTAGAGGCAATTCCGAGAAGGCCGAGTGGCAGGGCCGAGTGGCAGGGCCGAGTGGCAGGGCCGCAGACCGAAGACCCTGGTGCAGCTAACAGCAGCACAGTGACACTGCCCAAGACAAGCGTGCACTCTGTCGCTGTGGGCCTCGCTGTATCGCAAGGTGACTCGACTACCCGAGGTATGACCATCAGAGAGCTGCCACACACTGATGTCTCTAAAGCAAGACTCAACAAAACTCGTTAAAAGTGAGCTTGGGGCTGTGGAAGGACAGGCCCAGACCGGCCCGACTCGAGACAGGCTTCTGAGGCTGCCCGTGCTCTGAGCACAGCCCCGCCCGGCTCGGCTCAGCTCACAGGTTGCCACAGCCCCGAGCTTCCGGGGAGGTGGGAGTGAGTGGGCACGGCAAGAAGTTCTTGGTTCAAGGCTGGTTTTTCTGGGTACTTTTGAACAATCTGAACTTTGAAATAATAAATCAGAACAGCTCTAACAAAAACAGTTCAGAAAATCATCATCTTTCTGAAAAAGATGAGGGCAATAATACGCTAGGTTCTGACATCTGCTACGAGGACAAAGCAGCCGTTACCAAGACCACATTGGGAGGCTGGCAGGAGCCATGCGGTCAAAGGCTCTGGACTCCCACATGGCCGACCACAGCTCAAGTCCCAGACCTGGTAGCTCGCTTTCTCACTTTCTCTTTTTTTCCCCTTTCTCTCTGGTCAAGTTAGAATAATAGAAATAATAATACAAGAAGTTAAATAATTCTAGAAAAAGGAACGATTTAGAAACGCTGGGTTTGCGTATCCAGTTCTGCCGCGTGTCCTGACCCTCAGCACAGCAGCGGCACGTGAGAGAGGGCAGGCACGTCTCTGGCCCAGCGCCGATCTTCTGTCCCCGGCACACAGACAAGTGTCACAAAGAAGGGACTGCAGCTGCCACACTAGCTAGGGGCAGAGCGGCTGTGCGGAGCCACCCCTTGCTTAGAGACCGCTTTCTGCCCCCCCGAGTGTCTGGACACGCTGCTCCTCCTTTTCTCTGCAGGCGCTCCACAGCAATTCCTAAAACGCTCCGGGTGGGCGACTCTAGCCTAAGGCTGAAGCAGAGCGGCTCTCGTTCTTACCTGATGCGGCACGTCCGGACGCGGTGGGCAGGTCGAAGGCACGGTATCGTCGTCCTCGGCTAGAACACAAAAAGACACGCGCTGCCTGAGCTTGCCCTGCTCCATGTGTGCGGCCAGACACGGCTGGCTGCCCCCGGCCGCATCACATCGGGGGCCTGACTGCAGGGTCCCTGCCTCTGCTGTGGTACGGAAGGTCACCCCACTGAACAACGCGCCTTATCAAGGGATGAGGCCCGATTCCTGCTTGTCTTCGAGTGGGAGATTTGGTTCCCACCAGTCCTGGAATTATGACAACAGGCCAGTCATGCCCTCCCTGGGACCTGGGGTTCCTGCCCTCTCGGCACTCCACAGCCTGCCTCCCACGGCCCCTGGAGCCTACTCTGTCCCCACGTGCACCCCCATGGGGCCCTCCTCTCCCAGGCTGCGGACAAGGGACCCACAAGCTGTGGTAGAGCTCATCTGCCATCTGCCGGGTGTTTGGCTGGCCCTGTGGCCCTGGGGCAGGGTCCCTCTGTCAACAACGGGGTGGACAGGAGGCGGTGGCCAGAGCACGTTCCCCTCTGATGAACAAGCTTCTGTGGAATGCCACCGTGCCCTTCATCTGTACAGTGTTCCACTGAACCCCCAGACAGCAGGGAATGGGGGACAGCTGCCCTGACAGTGCGCCACCTACAGGGGGACCAGCCACTTCTGTTCCACCGTGAAAGCACAGCTGACAGAGGGTCACAGGAACCCCAGTGTGCGTGACCTGCTGAGCGTCTCTCCGGCAGCCCTGCAGCATAGCAGTTAGGGTTGTGCACTGGGAGCCGGATCCCACATGGCTGAATGCAGTTTGAGTCCCAGCCCAGCACCTTGGAAAACACATCAGGTGCATGTGGTGTGTGCCAAAATTCCTGACGGGAAGGGAAACGGAGGGACGAGGACTGTGGTGCGACCACGCCCCCATCGGGAGGTGCTTTCTGTCTCTCTGTCTCTGCTGAGCACAATATGCCCTCTGGCAATAAGAACAATTTTTTAATGTTGATCATTTTTGAGAATGAACTTTCAGGAAGGGACACCTACCTTCAGGCTACGTCGCACACTTCACAGTGCTCCCGTTGTGGCAAAGATTGTACAAAACAGGATAAAAATGGGTTTTGTAGGGCCAGCAGGTGACATGGTGGTTAAGGCACTGGACTCCTACGTGGCCAACCACGGTTCAAGTCCACACTGGGCACATGCGGGTGTGTGTATACCCAAAATTCCAGGAGAAATGAGAAGGGATTGTGGTGTGGCCATCCTCCCCGAGGGGCGATTTCTCTCTTTCTCTCTGTCTTTCTCTGTCTCTCTCTGGTGCATGCACACATCCTATGACAAAAACTGAAAAAAAAAAATTAAAACAAAATCAAAATCAAACAGTGGGTTTAGGAAACCAGCAGTTAGCGTAATGGCTATGTCACTGGACTCCCACGTAGTCGACCGCGGTTCGCGTCCTGGACCCGGTGGCTTAAAACTCACGCCGGGTGCGTGTGCGTGCGTGCCCAAGATCCCGAGAGGAGAATGGAGGAGAAGGGATTGCGGCGTGACCATCCCCCCGGGGGGTGATTTCTCGCTTTCTGTCTCTATGTCTCTCTCTGTCTGTCTGGCGAGCGCACGCGCCCTATAGTGAAAATCTCTCCAATAAAAACACAAAAAACAAACAAACAAACAAAAAGTGGGTTTAGTTCCACCAGCTTTTAATCTTTAGCCACACAATTCAAGGCCACGCTCTAAACAGAAGTTGCGGAGATACAGCCCATCATGGAGGAGCCGTGAGCGCCAGCACATCTGCAGCTATAAGATCTCCAACAGGGATGAGAGGCCGAGGGAGGCGCCCACTCGCTGTGCTCTGTGCTCGCAAGCGTCCACCGCCCCGCTGCGCTGGCTGCGAGGCTTTTCTAGTCAGGACCCTCCTTCCCGCTAGCACTATCCAGCCACGTAGCCCTTCCTGAGCTCTGCGTGGCATCTCTGGCCAAAGCTGCAGACCGCTGGCTGGGGAGAGCTTCTCCAGGCATGGCATGGCCCGCTCTGAATCACCGGCACTGCTCCTGGACAACACAGGGCCCATCCACTCTCCCTGGCTGGACTCCCAGGGCCTGGAGGTCTGTGCCGGCAATGCCCCCTCATCCAGATGTAGCAAAATGCACGGCCGTTCTATCTCAGCCAAGCTAGTGCCCACGTCAGCATCAATAAGCCAGCTTTTTTTTTTTAAAAGAGAGATTTTTTGCTATATGGTGTGTGTGCTCACCAGAGAGACATACAGAGACAGTGAGAGGGAAAGTGGCCAGGGGAGACGGTCACGCCATAAACCCCCTCCTCCATTCTCCTCCTGGGATCTTGGGCACACAAGCAGTGTGCCCAGCATGAGTTTCAAGCCCCCAGATCCAGGACTTGAACTGCAGTCAACCATGTGGGAGTCCAGCTGAGAGGAGAAAGCCACAGCCGGGAGACAGAGCCCAGGGCACCACTGACACACGGGGCCAGAGACCAGAGACCCTGAAGCCAGCATATCCCCCCAGGTTTAAGTTTGCTTTATTTCTTTCTTTTATGAGGAGGGAGGACTGTGACCTTCCTACCAGCCCCCCACTAACTGGGATCACAGGTGCAAATAGGTGTTACCTGGCATGTTCACGTCAACCAGGGATTTGAACCTGGGCTTCCCACATGGTTCTGCTATTAACCACAGTGCCCTACCATCTGCACCACCACAGAGGGCTTGCCAGCCATGGTCATGGCCATGTTCTAGTCATGCCTACAGAAATGCCCGAGGGGGCCAGCAGGTGCCATAGTGGTTAAGGCCCTGGACTTCCACATGGCTGACCATGGTTCAAGTCCTGGACCCAGCAGTTTGAAACTCACACCTGGCGCATGTGTATGTGTGTGCCCAAAATTCCGAGAGGAAAACAGAGAAGAAGGGATCATGGCGCGAGCACCCCCTGAGGGGTGAAGTCTCGCTTTCTCTCCGTCTCTGTGTCTCTGGGGAGTGCACATGCCCTATATCAAATATCTCTCCCAAAAATAAATAGATCAACAAATAAATAAATGAGACTGCCCAAGAAAGTTACTGTGCAGTCTGTTATAAAATACCTTACAGCTTTGCTTTTCCATCTCACCAGAGGAGAGGCGGGGGGAGGGAGGCCATGCCACAGCCCTTTCTCTTCATCTCTCAGGACTGCCACATGCACACGCGCTGGGCATGTTTTCCAAGCTGCTGAGGCTGGGACTAGAGCCGCAGTCAGCCCTATGGGTCCAGCTCCCCAGGCATGGGGCTTAGCCACGGTGCTACAGCGTCACAATTCAAAACCATGACAAATTACCGGGACCAGGCACTGGGCGAGGAATCAAACACAAGGCAGAGCAGTCCTGCTGGCGGTACACAGCTCTGGGCAGTCCCGTGTCCTGGACGGCGCATCTGTCTGGCTGTGGAGACCAACAAAAGCGGAGAGTTACTCTCAAGCCCAGAGCCACGGGGACCAAAGTTAAAGACAGCCAGCCTAGGGGACTCACGCCACTCAGAACTTTGCCAGAGTTTAGGCTTCAGTCTGCCTGCCTGCCTGGCGGATTTTGTTTGTTTGTTTGTTTGTTTTGGAGAGGTTTTTGCTATAGGGCACGTGCACTCACCAGAGAGAGACAGAGAAACAAAAAGCGAGAAATCACCCCCCAGGAGGGATGGAGAGGAGAAAGCCACAGCCGGGAGACAGAGCCCAGGGCACCACTGACACACGGGGCCAGAGACCAGAGACCCTGAAGCCAGCATATCCCCCCAGGTTTAAGTTTGCTTTATTTCTTTCTTTTATGAGGAGGGAGGACTGTGACCTTCCTACCAGCCCCCCACTAACTGGGATCACAGGTGCAAATAGGTGTTACCTGGCATGTTCACGTCAACCAGGGATTTGAACCTGGGCTTCCCACATGGTTCTGCTATTAACCACAGTGCCCTACCATCTGCACCACCACAGAGGGCTTGCCAGCCATGGTCATGGCCATGTTCTAGTCATGCCTACAGAAATGCCCGAGGGGGCCAGCAGGTGCCATAGTGGTTAAGGCCCTGGACTTCCACATGGCTGACCATGGTTCAAGTCCTGGACCCAGCAGTTTGAAACTCACACCTGGCGCATGTGTATGTGTGTGCCCAAAATTCCGAGAGGAAAACAGAGAAGAAGGGATCATGGCGCGAGCACCCCCTGAGGGGTGAAGTCTCGCTTTCTCTCCGTCTCTGTGTCTCTGGGGAGTGCACATGCCCTATATCAAATATCTCTCCCAAAAATAAATAGATCAACAAATAAATAAATGAGACTGCCCAAGAAAGTTACTGTGCAGTCTGTTATAAAATACCTTACAGCTTTGCTTTTCCATCTCACCAGAGGAGAGGCGGGGGGAGGGAGGCCATGCCACAGCCCTTTCTCTTCATCTCTCAGGACTGCCACATGCACACGCGCTGGGCATGTTTTCCAAGCTGCTGAGGCTGGGACTAGAGCCGCAGTCAGCCCTATGGGTCCAGCTCCCCAGGCATGGGGCTTAGCCACGGTGCTACAGCGTCACAATTCAAAACCATGACAAATTACCGGGACCAGGCACTGGGCGAGGAATCAAACACAAGGCAGAGCAGTCCTGCTGGCGGTACACAGCTCTGGGCAGTCCCGTGTCCTGGACGGCGCATCTGTCTGGCTGTGGAGACCAACAAAAGCGGAGAGTTACTCTCAAGCCCAGAGCCACGGGGACCAAAGTTAAAGACAGCCAGCCTAGGGGACTCACGCCACTCAGAACTTTGCCAGAGTTTAGGCTTCAGTCTGCCTGCCTGCCTGGCGGATTTTGTTTGTTTGTTTGTTTGTTTTGGAGAGGTTTTTGCTATAGGGCACGTGCACTCACCAGAGAGAGACAGAGAAACAAAAAGCGAGAAATCACCCCCCAGGAGGGATGGCCACGCCGCAATCCCTTCTCCTCCATTCTCCTCTTGGGATCTTGGGCATGCACACATACGCGCCCAGCGTGAGTTTTAAGCCACCGGGTCCGGGACGCGAACCACAGCTGACTACATGGGAGTCCAGCGACATCGCCATTATGCTAACTGCTGGTCCCTGCCTGGCAGTTTTTACTCTCAATTGGCCAGAGTGCAATCAAGGTCAACAAGAAGTTGATGCCGGAGTGTGAAGCTCGAACTGCAAAGTCGGCTATGAGATCTAGCCACCTTAGCCATCATGCCACTGGCTGGCCACTAGAGAGGGTGATGTTCAATCTTAGAAAAAAGACATTAGAGGGACCAGCAGTTAGCGTATGGCTATGTCACTGAACTCCCATGTAGTCAACTGCAGTTCAAGTCCCGGACCCGGTGGCTTAAACTCATGCCGGGCACGTGTGCGTGCGTGCCCAAGATCCCGAGAGGAGAATGGAGAAGGAATTGCAGCGTGGCCATCCCCATGGGGGGTGATTTCTCGCTTTCTGTCTCTGTCTTTCTGGCAAGGGCATGCACCCTATGGCAAAAACCTCTCAAAAACAAAACAAAACAAAAAAATCATCCAATCACAGAAAACCTAAAAGTCAAAGAGTTCTACCCCAGACTAAATTAGTTCTCTTCACGCTGCTCCCAGGGCATGGACACACTCACACTGAGACAGGTACCTCTGTGGTGGTGGTTTTCGTTTTTTTTCCCATTGTCAGAGGGTCCATGCATTCACCAGAGAGAGATAGGGGAGAGGGAGAGAGACAGAGAAAGCACCCCGTGGTATGGGGTCACATGGCAATCCTTCCTCCTCCACTTCTCCATCCTGTTGGGATACAGGCTTGTGTCCTGACATGCCCAGGGTAGTTTTCAAGCCACTGGGGCTGGGATTCAAACCAGGTGGTCATGTGGGGTCTGGCTCCTTAACCACAAGGCCCCGGGGCTGCTTGCTGGTCTGTCTTACGTTGTCTCCTCAGGTAGCTTGAGCTCAGCCAGAGCAGGGGATACGATCTTTGCATTCCAGATCCTGCCACGGCTAGTAGATGTCCACAAGAGCGTGGACAGACAGGCGGGCTGGGCACAGCCCAGCTCTGGAGGAAAGAGCCAGAATCGGACCAGCTGTGAGGAGGGGCCAGGCCATCGCAGAGGGCAGACACAAGGGGCCGGGGCCAGGCAGCTGGAAGAGCCATGGGGAAGGAAGACCCAAGAGCCTGCAGCCTGTTCTAGCCTAGAGAAACCCGAAGTTCATTCCTGTCACAGACAGAGCAGGACGGACGTCTGTCTCAGAAAAATCTCACTGGGGCTTCTGGCCCTCGTGTGCGTAAAGGGCTGACGAGGGGCGGAGGCCAGCCGAGAGGTGCCACTGGCGGTGCAGACCTGGTGACCTACCGTGTTGCAGGACAGGGTGCTGGGGTCCGTGTCTTCCACCGGCTCCTTCGTCGAGTGATCTGTGACAAATCAGGACAGAGGGTGTTTAGTTGGAAAGCCCAGTGAGTGCCCAGTAGTCATCTTCACGGAGACGCGGCTTCCTCGGTGGCCGGAGGAAGCTCACCGTCGGTCACGTGTGGGGACAGAGCCAGGAGGAAGGTCTGGGTCACATCAGGAAGGGACCTGGGAAAAGAACTGCGAAAACAATAAAAGCCCACAATGTCCTGGTGCTCTGAGTACTATGGATACTTGTCAGTATTACAGATCTCACAAGTGCCTACAGATACTCAAGAGCGTAGAGTGACCACCATCACGCAGCTGCCCCACTGCGGGCAGGAGCAACGGAGTCTGATTTCCGCTTCTCCCTTATCCCCCCTTCTCTGCAAGTCTTCCTTAGTGAGCGGCTGGATGTGGGTCACGTGACTAATGTCAACCTACTCACGGCATTTTATCGAGAGAGCACGCGCCCTTGGTCTCATGTGGCACATGGCAGAGTCTCACGGGGAAACGCGGGAAGAGGCATGGCCTCATCAGGGCCACCACGCACTCACACGGGCCTGCACAGGTTGGAAAGAGCGCCCCTCCAAGACGCTCTGCTGAGCTGTCTGCAGAAGACTGCCTTCCAGACAGCTGAGCCCGGCTGGTGAGCGCTCTGCTGCGTGCAGTGCCCACGGAGCCCTAGCGGCCCCACTGAGGCGCGACCTTCCCCCACAGGTACGTGCGTGGAATCAGTGCCAGGTGCAAGTGCACTGTGGGGACCCAAATGCCGCTGTCTGCGGAGGAGGGTCTGGGCCTGACACAGGGCAGGCAGCAGGTGTGGGCGGGGCCCAGCACAGCCATGCTGGGGCAGGGAGCCTTGGCCCTGTGAGAGCCACAGCACTGGGGAGTGGGGACTCAGGCGGGAGCCCCATCAGCGTCCCGCACGGGCAGGGCTGACGGACACTGCGGCTGCCCTGTGGGACTGCGGCCTGCTCCCTGGTGGAAGACAGTGGCGGCAGGACCACGTGCAAAACGGGGGACACAGGACCACACGCAAGCAGGGGACGCAGGACCACACGCAGAGCAGGGGACGCAGGACCACACGCAGAGCACGG